AAAAAAAATTTTAAACTTTAAAATTTCACCCACACCCCACACATTATACTGTTTTTGCAGAGGTGCTCAGAATACAACAGTTTAGAAGCATAACATATAAAGATACACAACATATCCCCCAAACTGCCAATATCCCAAACCCCCTTTTAAAGTGCAGGCATTGTACTTCCCATTTCCAGGACTCAAGTCCGACTATATGAAAAAAAACCAGGTTTCCCTGAATCCCTTCACTTAAATATTACCCTGCTCACACTCCAACAGATCATCAGGTCCCAAGTACCATTCGTCTCCATTCACTCCTGTCTAACACGCTCACGCACGCTTGCGGAAGTCCAAGCCCCTCGCCCACAAAACCTCCTTTACCCCCTCTCTCCAAACCTTTCGAGGACGACCCCTACCCCGCCTTCCTTCCCTATAGATTTATATGCTTTCCTGTCATTCTACTTTGATCCATTCTCTCTAAATGACCAAACCACCTCAACAACCCCTCTTCTGCCCTCTGACTAATGCTTTTATTAACTCCACACCTTTTCCTAATTTCCACACTCTGAATTTTCTGCATAATATTTACACCACACATTGCCCTTAGACAGGACATCTCCACTGCCTCCAACTGTCTCCTCGCTACTGCATTTACCACCCAAGATTCACATCCATCATAAGAGTGTGGTACTACTATACTTTCATTCATTCCCTTCTTTGCTCCATAGATAAAGTTTTTTGACTCACATATACCTCAATGCCCTCTCGCCTTTTTTCCCTCATCATTCTATGATTACTCTCATCCTTCATAAATCCATCCGCTGACACGTCAACTCCCAAGTATCTGAAAACATTCCTTCTTCCATACTTTGCAAACATTTATTCCTTGATTTAACCCTGTTGCAGTGAGTGCTAAAGGTGCACTGTTTCCCTTGTCTGTGGCCACAAAAACAGATAAGTAGTGTAACACAAGAAACAAAAACTAGAAATTTTAAAGAGGTTTGATGATGGACTTCGAGGTGTGGTTTCGTTATGTCTTTTTTGCTTAGTTTCCAAGAGCCTATCAATAACATTGAGGACTTGCTGTACATTAGAACAGTGTGAAGTTGGGAAAATCACATAGCCTGGTTTTGTACAGGTACTGTATATTATGCAGTGCTTTTGACTTAGCTTTAAATGTCAAAACCTTATGGTGACATTGAAAAGTTTGTTCACTAAATGTTAATACTTTAGTAATATTAAACCTATAGGATCATAATGTGCTTATGTTCAGACATAATTTAGGCAAAAAGATGTAGAATGAATGCTAAATTAGTGCAGAATTGACGGTGAAGTCTCTGGGCCTCTAGGGGCCCAGGGACTTTGAAAAAGTACTTTACTTGATTTTAATGCAGAACAGCATAAGACATAGCATATTATGAAGGAACAATGAGGAGAAGCAGAGCAAAGGAAAGGCATGGAAATAATTTTTTGGCATATATGAATAAATGCTCAGTAATTTTAGTGCTGAGTTCTAGGTGACCTTTTCATATATACAATACTAGGTTCAGATTTGTATTTACTATGTTATTAAAGGGATATGTGCTTCTAGTATTTTAAATTTTTTCCCCATACTCTGCAGAACCAAACAATGACAGTCCTCTTAATGGCCATGCAGCTGAACTATGGGCTAACCAGGTAGCATACAAGAAGCACCTCATAGAACATTACAAGAAGGCAAATGGAGAACCATAATTAAGCTGGTCCCACTTCACATGCATATGTATGAATTTAAGATTTGTTTTTCAGTATATCATATTTGTGTTGTGCAAGAATGGTGTGCTGAGTGACTTCAAACAGGTATCATCAGTAGTACTTCAGTTTATCTGGGTTTCCTAGCTTGGTTCTCTTCTATTTAAGTATAACTAGATACAGTGAGCTATTTCCATTTTGTGACAGTATGTCAGACAAATAATATTTCTGTATCTCAGAGGATAAGCATAAGCTATATAATTTTCTTACATCAAACTGGCTAAGCTGCACTGTATTTAATTGAAAAAGAATGAATGCTTTAACTGTTAGGAAGTGTGAGCAATACTTTTTAAGTTAATATATTTAGATATCTATGATGTATGATAGTTTACAATAGTCATTGTGTACATTATACTGTTAAAAATGGTTTTGTTTTATATCGTGAGTTACAGTATTTATTTCTTAACCTAAGGAAGTCCTGGCCAAATTTAAATGCTAATGTTTCTCGTACCTTCACCCTTTGGGATGGATTACATCCCCTCAGGAACTAAAAATACATTAGCTGTGTTGGTGGCTGACCAGTGTTTCAGTGAATATATTCAGTCATACATTTTCTAACCTGTAAGTGCAGTATATTCACATAACTTTACCGGCTTCTTCTTCTTCCCTTTTTGCCGTGTTGTTTGCAGGTCCAAAATGGTATACCCGCCGGACGGCTTGCCGCTTGGTCTCTTCTCACTCCATAGTCCTTTTTAAGAAGTCCTTACTTGTGTTACAACATCAACCCAGATCTAGGGCACCCTAAGGCCACCCCACTGGTTAAGCATTCTCCACTGCGCAGTGAACCTTCCAGGGCCTTAACTATGTACAACTCAATCTTCGAGGCTGGTAGATGAAGATCTTTGAGTATTTTGTACGTTTTTGGGGACATAACTCCCCTCCAGGTAATATCACTGCTCCGAGGACAACTTCTTGCGGGTCAATAGGCCGTATGTTGATTGTAGATGGCTCCACAGCGTTGTCCCGAAGTTCGTTGTATAGATGAAGCTGCTGGGTCGCCCACCGGGCTGTCCAGGATCTAATCTGCCCGGTGTCGTAGTACTCAGCCTTCCGTCGATACTTATCTGCTATAGTTGAAATGCCAGAATCACTTGCTATTTTAATGTCGAGCACGTAAGCCTTTTTGTTTTCCACATCACAAATTAAGAGATCCGGCTTAAGCATAAGAACATAAGAACGAAGGAACACTGCAGAAGGCCTACTGGCCCATGCGAGGCAGGTCCAAGTCTCCTACCGGCTTAAGCCAATGCACCCAACCTAGTCAGGTCAGGTCACATTGACTTAAGGGAGGAACACGGCAACCGACCTGGGTTGTTGGAATATGCGGCTCCTTGGCTACCGCATGGTTCTTCTGCATGCAGTCTGAAGAGATAGCATCCATGATGTTATCATGCCGTCAGACCCGTTGTCCATGGAGCTGCGGGTAAACCTGGAGAAGGTGTCCCAAGGACTCTCGTTGATCACAACCCTCACAGGTTGTGTTATTCTGTCTTCGTCCTCTTGCTCGTCTAGTCTTAGTTGGCATTAAGTTATGCTTGATTTTTAATGCATCCACGTAAGAGGCCCCCTTTAATAGACTTGTTCCATTCGTCATCCAATGATGTACTTGGGGGACTAAATGATGTTCCTTCAGTCCTGCCCCATCCAGCGAACCCAACAAGGCTTTTGTCCATTCCTTGAGCTCCTGCTTCCTAGTTGTTACAACCACATTCCTCACTCTACTCTTGCCTATGAACCTCAATGCTTTCAGGGTGTTCGGGTGCAACGCCAAATTCCGTATAGTGCTATCCTCAGAGTTGTGAAATGCATCCAACGTGTTTCTTCGCAATATAGGAACTCTTGTTGATGAACAAATACATCCCAAACCCCTGGCAGCTGCTGGAGCGTAAAACACACCTAGTGATGTGTCTTTGGAAAAATTCAGCCACTTTCTTACATTTTGCCTAATTAGTTTGTCCGACGTCTTCAAGGTATTCTGACAGACGCCACCGAAGCACCATAATATGTATGATGCCAGGAATCAGGTGCTTATTTAATATATATAACCGCTGTTGAGGATTCAGGGGCGCCTCATCTAGAGAGCTCGAAGTTTCTCACGCAACTTTTGTATATCTGGCTTTTCCCTACCAGCTGAAGAAAAATGCATTCCCAAGTATTTATACACGGCTGTTGGTTGCAAGGATCGAACTTGAGCTCCATAAATTTCTGTTTTATGCGTCATATCTACGTACCACTTCTTAACTTTTGGAACTGTTTGGATCTTCAATGTGGCACATTTTTGCAGATTTATCTCTAAACCTGACGCTTCTAAGTATATAAGTATATACAAATAACCCGCACATAAAAGAGAGAAGCCCACGACGACGCCTCGGCCCGACTTGGACCATTGACAAATTCACTGGTCCAAGTCGGGCCGAGGCGTCGTCATGGGCTTCTCTCTTTTATGTGCGGGTTATTTGTGTATCGTTCCAGTCACGGTATTGTGCCTTTTTTGTTATTTATTTGCTTCTAAGTATTTTAAAAACAGCTGCAATTGTGCATTAAGGCCTTGCTCTGACTCGGCTACTAACACTACATCATCTGCAAAAGCTAAGGCAGACACCTTATGCTCAGCACCACTCATTGGCCATCCAACTTGTTTATTTAAGGCCAACAGCGCTTCATTCATTACTATATTAAAGAGAATACAAGACAGAGGGTCCCCCTGCTTTACCCCTCTACACACCTTTCCCTCTCTACCTATAACTTCAGTTGACGCATCATAGTACGTCGACATAATATAATTAATCACCAAGGGAGGCACATTATGGATCTGAAGTGCTCTCCTCACCGAAGAGTGTTTACCGAATCATAGGCTTTCTTGACATCTAAGAATATTGCATATAGAGGTTTACATCTATCCTTACTTTCGCTAATCACCGCGTCCAACAACATTACATTCTGAGCCAGGCCATCTGTGGGCAGAAAAGCTCTTTGCGCCATGTAGAGAGGAACCCACTGAACGCATCTTGCTGCTAAAATCTTATGGAATACCCTAACAATAATGCTTGATATAGTTATCGGTCTATACTCCAGGATTTTCAGGTTGATCAACCTTCGGCAGCAACACAGTTCTAGCCTTCCTGAATACCTTAGGCAGGTATCCAGTGTACAACCAGATGTTAAACAAATCAACCCAGAACTGCTCCGGAAACATTTTCAAATCTTTAAGCATCCATCCATCAGGACCTGGTGCAGAACTACCGTTGGACGCAGCTACTGTTCTTTTAAACTCTTCCAGTTCAACAGGTAACTGCAATTGCCATAGCTGATCTTCCACCACAGTCTCCACCGATCTTATATCTTCTTCAGATGGTCTAACAAACAAATTCAACCAAAACTCTTGTAGTTGATCTTTACTTACATTTTGCTGTTCTGGGGCGCCTAAGCTCCGCCATCTTCCATCAAGTACCATCTTCGCACACTTAGTTCTATCCTTGTGGTATAGCTTCTGGATGTCCCTATACAGCTGTCTTCTTTGGGCTCTTCTACCACCCCTATTGTTGTTATACTGGGGGGCATTTCCTCTGTGAGCAGCATCGCCTTCACTCTTAGACATACCTCATCTAATATACTCTGTACAGCTAAAAGACACACTCCACCAAATACATTTCCCTCATTTAAAACATTTAACACATTAATACCAATATCCCCTAAACCCTCCCGCATTTTCTCCACACAACGTGTAACAAAGTGTATCATGTTCTGTAGTTTCTGACATGTGTTTGCGTATGTACTAGGGTCAATTGTACTGAGTAGGTGCTGTGTTAGTGCTTGTACTGTTGGAACACTCATATTGTGGGAGATTTCAATTCCATAATACCCTTCCCTGCCCCCAATTTGGTTGCTTCGCGCCTCCTGGCGGTCAACATCTTGAATCCTTAAACTACCAACATCAACAGTATCAGACATAAGTGTCAACTAAAGCTTTATAGGAAGCCATCCTCCTGTGGCCCTTAATTGCTTCAACCGACCTTCTGGTGTGGACATCCGCCAACAACAAATTCATCCCCGTAGGGACACCATAACCAACTCTTACTTCTTCTTTCAGGATCTTCACCTCAGCCATAGCCAACACCACTTTCTCCTCTTTGGTCCATCTGGTCTTCACATGAACAGTTGCTTCCTTCACACCCCTATGATATTCGTCAGGGTGCTTCTTTCTCGTATGAATAGACAATCCACTCTTGCTCGTACACACCAGACCACACACAAGACACCGAAATGGAGCTCCATTTTCATGCCATTATACTTAAGGACTTCTCAAATAACACACAAGATGAACATACGAACTGCCATTTGGCTCATTCATGTAGACCGAGTTTCAATTCTGTTTCTTGTAAGAAATGTATACTAAACCATTCTTTCGTTACAATGAATATTAGAAGGGTTCTTGCAGGTGGCATTTTGTCTTTGTCTTTTGCCATTTATAAAATATTTTTCATAGACTTTGTAGTATATACAGGTGACTCCCTAATTTAAGAATGCCATACTTTCCCTTTCCTGCATCCCCTGTGCATTTATGACCCTTCTTCTTTCCCCTGGCAAGCTAGCTTCTAAAAACATAATCTTGGTGTATGCAATTCATTCCTAGAAGTAGAGCCCCAATTTATAACACTGCACTTTCGGGAAATAACAGTTCAACTGATGCCGATAACTGCAGAGCCAGTCAGGTTATAAGTGTGAGGATCACTTGTGTATGAAAGACATATAGAACATAACTTCTCTAGCTTTTTTTTTTTTTTCCTTAGCCTGTTGCAGCCACCATAAATGGAGGAATTACACATCCACGTCTGTACTGTAGTAGGTTCACTGGCCTTGTCCTGGCCTGGGTCTTTTCCAGATGGTGACCTGGTGCATCCACATCTTATTTGAAAATTGACATATCCCTCACAAGTATTCTACAGCAGAATAACTACAGTAGTTTTTGTAATTATGTAATAGTTTTGCTGATCATTGTGTGGCATCTCCCATAACCTTTGGATTTTGTATATGGTACAACCTTTGGATTTTGTATATGGTACATCATAGTGTACACTTTTGTATTAGTCAAGCTATGTAAAAGTTTTGCTTTGGGATACTTCTTATGATGATGTTGAATTAATCCAACATTGTTTATGCTGTTTTAGACCTCTTATATTGTCTTTAATGATATTGCCCCACTCTCATTTTACCTAATATAGTTTTTAGCAAAATTCTTTTTATCTTCACATTTCAAGAAAGTGCTTTGCTACTGATGAATGCACTATATGCTTCATTTACAGAATGATTTTTTATATTTTCATTTTTCACTACTGTGTTGCAAGTACAGTAACATAACTGAGTAATACACTTGATTTGTAATGACCATGTTTTTCTGGAAAGACAGATGAAGAATGGGTGGCGATAATTGTGTGTTGAATATTTGAGTCACCCGGTGTTGGTAGGAAATTGAAAATGGATTAAAAAAAAAAAAAACATGACTGAAACATTTGTATTCTTCCTTTATGTACAAGTGAAAGACTTACTATACACATCAACTGGCTGTGAAAGTATAGTAAAATAAAGTGCTGTATTTTATTATATCCAAAATATTTGATATAGTGAAAAGAAATTCACCTTGAGATGTAAAATTACTTAGTAGATTGGTTAGAGCCGAAATATAAAATAAGTGTATTTAGAAGCAGTTATCCTCATACATGAAGATGGTACGTTGTAAAAATAATGGAAATTTTTTTGTAAATGAGAATACTTGTTTGCAGTGTAAAATTAAAAGTATTATTTTAAAATGACTTTTACAGTTAAACTAGTGTTGGATATTTTAAAACTGCTACATCATCTTTTGAATGTAGATATTAGCATTTTCTTGCTCAGTAAGTCAACCCAAAAGGGTCATACAGCAACTAATTATGTTTAGTGCTTAATTTGATTATATTATTATTAGGTGATTTAGTGATACCTACAGGAGGGGAGTATTGATGAGGATGTATTCCTCTTCTGAAGTATTGGTTTGAATGTCATTCTAAAACATATTAATGTAATTATCAGAGCATTGTGCAATATGCGTGGTGATAAAAAAAATAAGTGAATAGTATGAAAAAGCTTTAAAATTCTTTTGTATTGATGTTGAAGCTTGATATTTAGGGCATTTGAAATGCAAAAAAAAAAAAAAAAAAAAAAAAAATGAAAATGTTACACAACATAAATGTGCAAGAAGTTATTTGAAAATTGCATGTAAGTTTATTAACATGGAATGTGAAAGGTAAAAAAGGTTGGGGTGCAAGATTT